TTACAGCGATGTTGTTGACATTACTTATCTTTTCTTTTTTTTTCTTTTTCTCCTGAAAAATGAGATTTTCTTTTTCTTCCAAGTGCCAAATGTGCAAATGCAACAGGAAGTCTGAAAATTGGTGGCCTTTTTTTTCATTTGTGTGTTGTCAACACAGAAGGTTCTCAATATCGTGGTTAGCTGCAGTTTTCTCTTATAACTTTATTAGGATTATTACTGAGAATGTAGAAAAAAAGTTATAAGCAAGTCTTACTTGGTTTTTTTTTCCATAGAACTTCACAGAGAATATAGCTCTTTTTTAATATCTGCTGTTGTCACTGGAAAGAAATAAAATTCTTTTATTTTGGTTAGGGTAAACTTGCTAAAGATTGCTCTCTGGTTAACATTTCAGTAACGAAAAATAGGAGATCATGGTTAGGTTGCAAGAAATCTGGCCAAAGTTTTAAAGTGGCTGCTGGTTTTCATTTGCATCAGCGATGCTGACAAAAAGTGGAATTAACCAGATGTGCAATAGTAACTGATGTCAGTGACAATGACCTAAACTGGAGACGCGCATCTGTTAGCGCGAAGAAAGAATAACACGTGGGCAGGACCAGGAGACACTACTGTATTTTGTTATATGTTATTTCCTAAATTGTGATTTTCTAAGCAATAGTGAGCACTGAATTACTTTCTTGAGGGATTGAATTTATAGGGGGGACCTGCAATAGCTTGTTCCTTGACTGAAATCGTAATTGTGTTAAAAAGGGGAAAATTATTTTTGAGTCATCTTGCCCATCTGATCGAAATCTGTCTTAAAGCTACTGGATGTTATTCCCCCTGAGGATTCATAAAACCTGGTTGCTTTTACATTAGTCTTAACGAAGTAAAGATTTTATGGCTGCTGACAGAACTTACAGATGTTTTGAGCTCTCCTGTCAGAGGAGCATTGGCCGTTATGCCGTGGGCTCTTGTTCCCTGGAACAGCACGGCTGGTAAAGGTGACTTGTGTGCCTGTACGTAACATTTTACATAAAGGAGCGGTACTTGCCATGTGAATTTCACAAGGGCAAAATTAGCAAAGAACTTTGTATCCTTGGGAAGAAGGAAAAGACTTCTTTTTCCCTCTCTTTTTGCTTTAATGCACACAAAGTCTTGGTCAGCAGGTTTGTTGGGAGTCACAGCTATCTGAACTAGACCAAAGTGCCCAACATGTTTCAGGTTGAGAGGAAATTTCCTGTTTTGTAGGAAATACTTACCCAATTCCTGTTTTTTTTTCTTTTTCCTTACCTTTGCATCACCTTCTGTCTCTCTGCAAGTGCTGCATTGAGCTACCAAGAGCTGATGTGATGATTCATTTTAAGTCATGTATCAGTATATGACACCCTGCATGAAGCCACACATGAAACCTGCTTTCCTGACTGGCTAAAAATAAGGAAATTTAAAGCATTAAGCCCAACTGTAATTCAGAGAAACTTCTAGTGTCTGGGGGCCATTAAATAAAGGAGTGACTTTAGAGAATTGAAGGTGCCAGAGAAACTCTGCATTATCCTTTAAAGATGCTTCAGGACTTAACGTATTCTATAAAAAAATTGCACTTGCCATAGCTGTTCCCTTCTCCATCTGTTGCTTTTAAGGAGCAGCACTTCCATGGGGAGCTGTAGGCTCATCTGCATGCTGCAGAGAAAACAGTAATTTTGGCAAACCCACATAACTGTATTTGGCTTTTAAAATGTCTATTGAAAGCAATTTCTGGCAGTTCCTAGCACAGCCCTCTTTTTTTATTTTTCTTTAAAAAAACACCAAACAAAACAACTTTGCCTGTGTTTTCTCTGTGTTTTGTGAGAAACAATCCCAGAGCAATTCTCCTGCAGCAATTGTATTTTACAATTCACTTAATGCGGTAGGAGAGCTGTAGGACTGGTAGGAGATGCCGTTGTTGAGACTTCCCTAAAAGATTTGACACTCCAGGTGCATATCCAGAATGGTGTGGTGAAAATTTTCAAATTAACTCCCTGATATTAGAGGATAATTTCTGAGAAATAAAATTTTTAAAAAAAAGCTATTCTGTCTTAGAAATGTTAATGAAATGCTTCTCCTGCGAGCCAGTTCTGATTTGCTGAGAATTGCACATGGCTGGTGGCCTTGAAACTACTGTCTTGGGAATGTTGCTTTGCATTTCAAACACACTTCTGATCTTAAGTTGTGATTGGTGCTTGATTCAGTCCATTATATAGACAGGACATGCCACTCTCTTTTGTGGAATTTAAGAAAACTAAGGAGTAGACGACAACGATACTGATGTGAGTCTCCAGGTGCGATGGTTTGGTCAAATCCTGTGTTTTCAGCCAACCTGTCACTGAAGGAGCAGATACGTGTTTCTCTCAGTGGTCCGTTCAATGATTCATAATGCTCAAAAACCTGTGTTCAAGCGTGCGAATTGTCAGCATCAAAATTAGCTTTTTGGTTCCCCTGCGCTGCTCAGAGTGAGGCAACTATTTACTGTCAGAGCGGACAGTCAGGCCTGCCCAGGTGCCTCCCTTCCTGCTAACAGGTATCTTAAAAATTAGCAATTGAGATGTATTTGGATATTAGGGTTTCATACTGAGAAATTATATGAGGGTAGCATAAAATGTGAGAAAAAAAAGAGGAGCAGACCAGTAGGAGTCACTGTATGAATATTGCTGACTTGAGCAAAAAGTTCATTAGTTGTGGATTTTTGCAAGCTGATTGATTGACTTTATTTCTAATGCAGACCTTGAAAACAGTTCTGTGCAGCTTTAATAACGACTGGTCAAAAACCTTGTGTCAAGTGTTTCTAACAGCCGTCAGCGCAGTTTTCCGTTGCTGATTATGAGTTTCTCTGTCAGGCCTTCCTTGCCTTAAGCACAGTATTTAAAATCTGAAGTTAATTTTCACATTCTAATTTGCTCTTGTTCACCTCTCCATTCCATTTGCAGCCTTTTTTTCCTCGCCTGGATGCAATCGCAGAGTGTTGCATCTCCAGTTTTGCAGGAGAGACCACTTGATTTAATATTTTTTGCAGGTGGCCAGCACCTCACAGAATGTTTAGCAGGCCCATATCTCCTTCTCATTTTTTTCTAGGCATGGAACCTGCTGAATTTGCGCTCTGTGATCTCTTTTTTTTTTTTCCCCCTATCCGCTTTCTGAAGATAAAAGAAAGAACCCCAAGCATTGCAAACCTATACAAAATGCAGGCTTTTGAGGGGGTCTTGCATCTTTTTCCAGGGCATTAATAATCTGGAAAAAGATTTATGGACTGACCGGATTGTTGCTGAGAACAGTGATGCTTTGTGCGTTTTGCTTTGGAAAAGCAAACATGGAGAGTTATTTGCACTCCTCCCCAACAAAAATGATAGTAGCAGCAGCAGCAATTGCAGGGGCTCAGATATTGGCCCTTTTTTGTTCTTTTTTTTTTTAAAATATGAACAGATTCCTAGCTTTAATTTCCTTCCTCCTCGCTTCTTGTTCTGCTCTCCTTCCCATAACTGTACAAAACGTTACATCGCCACACAATCATTTAGACTTAAGTATGTCTTTTTTCCACCCTTCATATCCTAGAATACCTGTTTGGGGAGTTCATCTCGTTAAGGGAAGAGGGAAGGGCACGAGGGGATAGTGGGGAGTGAACTAGTTCACTCGCTGAGGACTAGTGTGAGTAAGCTGTGGTACCAACAGAGAAGTGTTCGGAAGGCATCTGAAATATTTGCGGCCAGTCTTCTTACTGGCTGCGCGTGTTCCCAGCGCATAAACCAGCCAGTGTTACTTGACCCGTTAGTGAAGACTTTTAGGTGAGAGGTCAAAGCTAAAAGAAGTGTAGAGTTTGGATTATTTTTTTTTTTTTGGTAAAGGATGTGGGCGTGATGAAAGCGGGGAAGAGTTTGGCCTTCGTTTCTATTCTAGATGGAATGTCTGGTGTGGTTATGAGTATCTAGTTTATTTGAAATATAACTTGAAATTCCTTTGACTGTTTGACTAACAGCATCGCCTTAACATCTTCCAAGTTTTCACTAAGCGCCGTGCTTTATAATGTGACATTCCCAGGAAACAGGAAGCATCATCTGTCGGAAGACAGGAAATGTGCAATCATTAAATGCATTTTATTGTTTTCTGTGAAACTGTGCCCAGTTTCTCTGCCTTGATGTGGGCAGATGGAGTTTTCAAAAGCTTTTGTTGCTAGACTGAAAAGATTTAGGCCTCATTTATACATGTAATATTCATGCGTACGAAAAATCCTGACCTCCCCTGGAAGGCTACATAGACAGGATTTCCTGGGGAAAATCATTTTGGACCTAAAAAATTTTAAATTAAACCCTCTTACTTGAGATTGTGTGCAAAAGGTTACCGTGTCAGATAACTGATGGTCATTTCAGTTTTAGTTCATTAAGAATTACTTGTCTGGTTAGTGATCATTACCATTTGTGCATGTGAACTTAATTCCATTTTCTAGATACAGCTGTACTTTAGAAATAAGAATTTGCTGATTGCAGAAGGATGTTGGAGTGTGGGTGAGACAGCCTCATATAGCGTAGAGTTTGAACAATAGAAAGTTTAAATTAGGATTTGCAACTGTCAGACATAAGGCTGCAGAAAACACCTTGTCAGCTGCAAACATGTAGCTTAAGGGCAAGTAAATAGTTACATTTAATCGTAAACTGTCAGGCTGTGATACAGTATAACTGTGACCAGAGTGCTACAATGGATAAAGGAACAGAGAGACCAGGCTTTAGAGAGTAGCCAACAAATTTGCCCCTTAGCAGTATGTGCAGCAGCAAAAATGAGATTAAATCTAATTGATTAATCCCCTAGATTTGACTTTTTCTTTTCTTTAAATCTTGCTTGATGTGCCAGTTTCATTAAATACATTAATTGCTTGTGGTTTGCAGTGTTTCCTGAGTGGGAAATGCCTTCCTGTTTAACGTGCTGTTTGATCCCAAGATGTAAATGAAATTAAACTTGTATGTGTGCTTATCTGTATCCCTTCCGTGATTGTTTTGAAGGTGATGACACAATGACAGGAGATGGAGGAGAGTACCTCAGGCCAGAAGACCTCAGGGAACTGGGAGATGACTCTTTACCAAGCAGCCAGTTCTTAGACGGTATGAACTACCTAAGGTACAGCTTGGAAGGAGGACGATCCGACAGGTATTTGCCTGGACACGTGTATTTTCTTACGATAATTCTGCACGTATTTTGTTACAAATGTCTGAAATCCCTTTCTCAGGGCCTTTAACTCAAGGGTAACGTGGGACGCGCTCGTCAACGTTTCTTCAAGCATGGCAGTCGCCACTTTTTAGGAGGAAAGTGTGGTCAGGAGTATTTCCTGACCAGTCCAGAAACGAATACACTTGGCAGTGATGCTATTCCCAGCGTCTGGTGACAAATTTGGAATTCTTATTTGGTTCTTGAAAAGACGGAGCTTGTTTTGTTCTCTTTGTGGTCAGGCAAAGGAAGAATCTTCTGGCTGGCTGTGGCAAAGGCTTGTGAGTCACCCCCGTCCCCTCCTGTCACGAGTCAGGGGGTGGGCGGGTAGCTGGACAGGGTGTTTCAGCATTAGGTGAGCTGACTTTTTTGGAATAGTTTTCTAGCTGTAGATGGAAGGAAAGGCACAGCAGACCTGGTCATTCTGCACTGGATTGACAGCAAGTATATTATTGGCAAGCACGTGACTCTGTTTCATCCTGCTTGAATTAGCAGGGAGGGGAATCATTTTCCTTCTGCTAACACAGTATTTGTTGTAAAAAGAAAAGAAAAGAACTTAGGAAAAAAGAACTTATGTACAGCCCGGGAAACTTAGTGTTTTGCTTGTATCTACCAAGTTGAACATAAGCCTAAATCTATTTGTGGAACAATAATGCCTGCAGTTTTAATCTTTAATTTTTATGTTTTTTTTAGTTTTAGCACAAATACTCCTTTCAAAGCGAGAGCCTTTACTAGTGGGCATAAGTGTAGACTCAAACTGGCAGATTAACACCCACAGTTCTAGTTTGGAGTAGGCTCCCCAGGCATCCCTGTTTCAAAATGACCATGTCTAGTGCAAAGCAGTAATGTCTTCAGACTTCCTGCCTTTAGAACTGGGGTTCAGTAAAGGGGGAAGAAAAAGAAAGAAAAAAAAAAAAAGAAAAAGAAGTTGAGAACTTGGCAACAGAAGGAATTTTTAACCTACCTCATTTTCCAGTCTTGATTGTTATTCTGGCAGCATTTCCGAAGCTCAGTGAATTCAGTAAGATCCGTTCAGTAGGCTCTGAACTGCTCCGGGTACAAAAGATGTCAGGAAACAGTTTGGTTTGCCTCCCAGCATGTGTAAATCCCTCATCATTCAGGTCTTACAAGCTTGGAGTCTTCGCTGGTTTTTAGACAGCTTCACTGAAGCCACTGAAAACAAAGTGACTGGCTGGCTTTTTGAGTCTCTGAGAATGTTTTGCTTCAAAATTCAAACCTTTTATCACGCGCTTTCAGTGGTAACGAAGCGTTTTTCTTAATTTTAAGGTGTTCTATAGAAGTGATGGTGCAGGCAAGCGTTAAGGCAGTTTCTGCTCCCATTTAGAGAAATACTGTAAATGGATTTTGGTAGATTTTCACTGACGTGTCATCGAGGTGTTTTATTTTGTGTTGTATGGAAATGATCTCACATCTTGTATGAAGCACAATTATATTGAAATGAAGCAAGATTACAATGGGAGAAATAATGAAAGAAGAAGGTACACCTTTCTAACTCCATGGTCTCATTTTCTGTCACTGTCAGGTTCCTGATTTTAAGAATTTTCACAGAGACTGCTTAAATTATTTTGTTTTTGCTTTAATGTGATTATACAGACTTTGTTTTTTCAAGAAGTTCAGTAAAACAAAATAGTATTAGCAGTCTAGGCTCATGTAATCTTATGCATTAAACAGTTTGATTTAAGAAAGCCTATCTTTTTTCTTTTGTAACCATCTTCCCTATTTATTTTATTTCTCTCTCCCCTTCATTCTTTTCCATACGCTTTCATTAGCACCATGCCCAGGTAGGTACGACATAGCATGAAACCACGTTGTCTCTGTATCCTTTCATGGCACTTGTCGCTGCCTGTCCAGTTTGGAGGCCTCTGTATGCCACAAAGTTGGGTTGGAAAACCCAGCGAGCGAGCGCCGCTGGTTCGTTGCAAGTCTCTTTCACCTTTCTGGTTTGTGACAGGCTTTCAGTCCTTTGAGAAACAGTCTTTAATTGAAGACAGTAAAACCATTCTCAAGGCTGATTTGAACAGTTTTCGACAACAGGAGGTTGTTTTCCCAGCCTCTGAAACAACACGTAGTTCCCACAAGAGAGCAGCTCAGCTGGAGTAGGGGTTGCTAGAGCTCTGTCTAGGCTGGCAGGTGGATGCGTGCTGCAGCACTGTCTCCCAGGCATCCAGCTTAGAAACTTGGCAACACGCAGTGATCAGGAGCTTGGTAGGATCCCTGGGTTCCACAGCTCAGTCTCCGAGGCTCAGTAGAGCGCTGTTGACCCCACAACCCTGGTGATTTAGGATGCATCAACCAGATCCAGAAAGAATCTGATTTAGGCATTAGTGTTGTCTCAGTGAGTTAAGTTTGGTTGGTGGTTTATTTAGCAGGATTTCTGAAGACTTATTATAATACTAAACAAGAAATTCTGGTTTGTGCCAGTACACTTCCATAACTGGAATGTCGTTTCTGTCAGTACCTTGGTTTCTAAGTCTCGGAAGCACAGACCTTCTAACTACTGGTTTGCTCTCCATTTAGCTGGTACAACACGCAGAAGAGGGGCAGTGTCATCTGAACGCTAGTTTTAAAATTTTATATAGGAGGAAATTTAAACTTCTGATTTACTGCAGACCGCAGTCATGCTCGTGGGTAAAGTCCGTGTCCTCAATGTGTTGGATATTTACTGGAGCTTACGTACAGGTACTGGGTTGTAGTAGCAGTGCCAGGTACTTGCGGGAGAATATAGATGAAATCATCAAACAGATGCCGAGTCAAATCTAGGATGTACTTTCATTCAGTATCCAGAACATGACATGAGCTGAATAGCAGAACCTACAACTTGGATGGCAACCTCCTCCAAGCATTGCATGGCGCAGCAAAGCACTTCTCGGTGTCAAACGTCAAAACGAGTAAAGGATAATGATGGCAAATGGGGTCTGCTACTGAGGCTTTTTTTCAAGCGAACAAGCAAAGTGTTCTCTCTCTGCCCGATTCACGATATAACGTTGAGCCAAAATGCTCTTCAGGCAGGATTCTGTTTCATACTTTTTTTTCAAAATGTTATATGCTGACGCTTAGGGTAAATCATTGGAATTTTATTGATTGTTTTAATGAAATCAGAATGCGTTATTCCAGTAATACCAGCCTTACAGGTCTCCCTTCTTCCACTTGTCTGGGTGACAGACACTTCATGATATGTCAGAGAGATGAGTTCTTGTTGGTGTTGGTTGGTGGGTTTTTTGTATTTCTCAAGATTTCCCTATGGGTACCTATCCTTGCTTTCAGTTTGGTACAGTCCACCTAGTATGCCAGATATGCCATTGGTATAAGCCAGTAGTCACTGCAGTGATTTTTCTTCCATGTTTTCTAATAAAAAGAAGATAAGCATTTGCTTCTAAAAGTGAATCAAAAAATTATCAAATGAATGTAGCTATTGTTAAAAAAGGCTGATTGGTCTGAATCAGAGGGTAAAATTTGATTTCCAACAAGAGCTGCGTTTAAAGCGCTCGAATCTGCCATCCTTAATGTACACATGACATTTTTAGTGCTGATTGCTCAAAATGAATTATCCCTTAAAAATCTGTGTGTCTGGATAAACGACCTATTGTTCTTATCCAGTGTATTAGTCGTGACGAATACTACTCACGGATGTGTAAGCCGTGAAAATAAAAGTGCTTCTTTCAGTTAGATGTACTGGAGTCCTCAGGATAGAGAGCAGTGTCACAGAGTACACGAATAACATCTGAAAGTGGTTGGTCTGTTTCTCAAAATCACCACTGTAATACTGCTGCTAGTAAAACTTTAAGGGACAGAACTAGTGCTGGTTGGTAGCAGAAACCCCATTTACCTCAGTATGTCCTTCTGTGGTGTCTTATTTGGTGGTTTGTGTTTTTTTTTTTTGCCTTTTGCCAGTGGATACTGCAGCTACATTCTGAGCCAGTGCTTGGAAGCAGCTTATTTACTGCTTTGCATCTCTCATAGCTACAGCAGCTGGTTTTCTGTAGAGCTGTGTGTACTCACAAAGCAACCAGGGCTCACGTTTGGGCGGCCTCGCTAAAAATGTCGCTGGCGTACAGAGGAAGGGTTGTTTGACACGGGAGCTTGCGGCTGGCCACAATTCACCTTGCTGTGTGTACCTTCCAGGGGACAGTATGGAGCTGACTTACCGACAGTTGTAAGGGGAGAGAGGAGAGATCCTATAAAAGTTTCAGAACGAGTCATTTCAGATGTTAGACTTCTGGGGGTTTGTAGCAGTTCTGCTTGCGTGACGTAGCGGGAGAGAGAACTTCCAATGCGTGGTCTTTATTATGAGGAAACGTCATGCTGCAAAGCTAAGCATAAAGTGTTTGTGAGTATAAATTAAACTATCGTCTAGATTAATCTCTGCATTTTAAAGCAAGTCAGTCAGAAGTCTTTGTGGCCCTTGGGCAGAGGGGTAGCATAACACAGATTTGTAAAGCTCTGGTTTTCCCCCCGTGACTGTGATCTGCTCCCCCTGGAAGCTGCATCATATTGCTAATAGCATGCTTTTTTCATTCTCCCACTCGATCTGTCATGACACCTTTGCAACATCATCTGTACTGCTGATCAATTGCTCTGGCACCTTACCAACCTACCAGCCTGCGATCCTTCAGTTCAGACAGGTCGCACACCTTGAGCCACGCCTCCTACCTGAGGGACAGCGCCATGATCGACGATACGGTCGTAATCCCCAGCCAGCAGGTAAGCCCCTTACTCTTAAGTTCACCCATCAGTTGGATAAATGCAAAAATAGAGAAAGGTTACGGTTTAGGTTGTACTAATGACACCACGTTGTGGAGGCTTATTTGTTCAATATCAGTTTCTCTGAATTTTCCTTGATACGGAATGGCATGACGTGCACTGTTCCAAAAGAAACAGAAAAGCTGTGTGAATATAGTACAGGGTCTGTCTTTATTTTCTATGAATGATGCTAAACAGCCACTGGGCTAAATATTCAGGTGATCTAGTGAACTCGTTGTCCTCAAAGATACTATCCTGAGGCATGCTTGTAGTTTAACACAAATTAAAATAGGTGGGAAATGCCACTTTGGTAAATGACAGCATTCATTTTGCAGGGGGCACTAGTGTATGATTACTTTGAGCAAGCGCATAATGTTGCAATAAGGGGTTTCTAATATCTTAATGCCATTATCACTCCTTTGTTTTCTTTAAAAAACATTTAAATGCTTTAGGCACTGTGTGAAATACATCATCTTATTGTGTGGTTGATGAATTGATTTTATTGTAGTAAAAAGGAGGGTTTTTTGCTTATCAAGGTAACAACTCTGGCCAAAGAAGCTGAAAGGAATTCATATCGCTTAAGCTGGGGCCCTGAAAACTTGGACAATGTGGCTCTTTCTTCCAGCCCTATTCATTCAGGGTGAGTGTATCCATTAGCATTATACTAAAAAAAGAGAAACACATCACCTGCAGTGGCAGCAGCTTCAACTAATGCTTAACTAGGGGTTATATTTTAACTCATTGCCTCCTAGAGCTGTCAGTAAGTTGTTATGATCTCTTAAGCTCTGACCATCAAGCAAGCCTGAGTACCAAGACTGCCCACTGAAATCACTGCAAGTCAGGAGGAGTGACTGTCTGACACATACACACGTGCGTTTCTGTCAATGGTACGGGAGGAATAAATACGGTGCCTTTTTAAACTTAATAATAATTGCAACCAAGAGCCTAAGCCCTCCGGGTGCTGAGTACTGCCTATGCTAGTGAAGTAGTTTAGGTAAATGCCATCTTTAGTGTTTGTCTTGATTACTAAAAAAAGAAACCAAGGATTTTACGTTACACAAACCACGTAATGGACGGACCACCTAAACACGTATTTGGCCACTCTATTCCTGTGTTCTCACGTCTGACTCTTTCTGAGCATTTGCATTTGGGCAAGCTCATTGAAATGGACTGAGACAGGTCAAAATGCAGGCTCAGCCAGGTTCACACTTGCAAAGCTTATCCCGCTTGGCCTTAATATCTGTGAGTGCACATTTTTTAAGGGCTCTTACTTACCGTGTTTTAAGTAATTTTAGTCTTTACGCTGACTTCTACGCGCATGTCCTGCTGCCAGATTTGATGAGGCACGTGCAGGTAAATTCCTAAGAGCCTGGCATCATGAAAAAACATTTCATTTCTGTGGAGCTCTGTTGTACGCAGCATGGCCGGGCGTCACAAGGAGAAAGATTGATTTATTTTTGTTGATCTCACGTGAGTTTGCAACAACATTACGTTCCCATATCTTTCAAAAAGATAACACTGGAGTCCTATTAGGAATGACAGGCAGTCCTGGTCTAGAAGAGAAGCAATATTGTCCTAACTGTGATGGCAAATTGTCTGATTTGTGCCGTATACAACACATTGGTTAGCTGATAGCAGGGTATTTGATTGCAACCAGGGTCATTTGGATTTGCTTTTCCTGAGCTCCAAAGCTAGCCAATTAAATGCGAACACCTTATGTGTAGACTATGTGTATGTTCATATACCTGTGTCAGTATGTAAGCTTTAAAATTATTTTGGTGGTTTATCCTAACTCTAAATAGTTTACAGACTTTTTCCAAATATTACCTGTCACTTTCAGAAAGGTAGGTCTTTCCAGTGATTGCAGAGGAGGAACTAAATACTTTCTGGAAGAGCAACATTTTTCTCTGGACTGTGCAATGCTGTTGTGTTTTTCTTTTGAAAAGGGTATTTAGATCTTTTCGGGTGACCAAGATGCTAGCGGTAGGCAAAGAATATCTGATTTTAACAGGAGCAACGCTCTCTGCAGCCTTGCGTGATACACTGACATTTAACACAACACAGATTGTGTTCTACTTATACCTAGCAGCTAACTTGCCACTAAATATTGTAATAAAGAAATTTATAGTGATCATTACTCGGCCTTTGGAAAAGACTGCACAAGGCTTCATTTTTGCCTTGCTTCGGTTGGCTCGAGTCATTAAGTTATCGTAAACTGTTGAGGTGCATCTTGTTTACGTGTCTTCAGTAGGAAGGCATATTGACCACTAGAGTTTTGCTTGTAAGACCTTATTTGAAAAGTGAAACAGTTGTAAAAGTACTGGGTACGCAACTGTTGCATTCGCTTAACCTGAACAGCAGCAAATACCTTTGTCATTTTTACCCCTCTTGTCACCTCACACACGGACACACCCTCTTACAAGGTTCTTAGGGTCTAGCATCACCGCTGACATTGCGGGTGCACCTGTTGAAGTGGTGTGTATCTGTCACGAAAGAAAACTCTTAGTGTTTGAGAAGAAATCCTATATAAACGTTGTCAGTGGCTTTAAGCAAGGGTGTGGCCTTGGTTTTGCTTGGGTTTTTTGGCTTAAGAATTAAGTATCGATCCCTGTGTTGACACTTCCTGTCAGCAAATCAGATTTGCCTCTCCCGATAAAACTGTCTGATTGTACCTGTTATGATCGTGCAAAATTAAGGATCTCTCTGCGTGCCAGCAAATTTTTGTGCTAAACATCTGATAAAATAGAGTTTTATCACTTTGCTGCTAATATTAGGGAATATTATGTCAAATTTCCTGCTGGAGCATTAAGCAAGGCAGCACTGATGCCAACAGAAATGCAAATGTGTTTTAATCTCATACCTCACAGCATCGTGTTGTGGAAGTACACATATTTTTTCCTCAAGTTGGAAGGCAAAAACCCACTGAACCGAAAGATTTGTTTTCACTCGCAGCATTTAGACATTACTTGACAGTATCGTCCTTATGTCTCTATCACTCGCAGTCGTTCAGTGTGAATGGTGTAGATAAGGCTGACTTGAATGTATAAATTACGTGCAAAATTATGGTGTTTTCATGCCTGGTTTGTGGTGATAGAGAGAAAATTGTACAATCTGGTTATGTAGATTATGTTTCTAAGAATTTTACTGACAAATATGTGAAGGTGTAGTAGATAAGAGAGGCAAATCTGACATCTTGGCAGGCCTTGTGAGGAGGGAGTTTTGAGTTCCTGCTTCGGTATTAACTTGCTTTTGTGTTCTAGGGCAAGATAGATAGCAGCTCTGCAGTTTTTCCAACTCTGACTTGCCTACAATAAAACTCTTGTGTAATAAAAGGGATTGATTTCGTTTGACAAAGAAGTCCCTATTTGACTAGTAGATGATCCAGGCATATCTGTACTTGTATTGGACAAAATTAACCACTTGGGATGTTCTTAGTGAATTTATCTTTTGGGAAGTTGTTGCTTCCATCACTGAAAAAGGGAGAAGGACGAGGGAGCGATGAGCTCAAACTGTGACAATTAATGCGAATTATCATTCATAGCTGCATGTCTGCCAAAAAGGAGGCTGGATCCTTGCTAACAAGGTAAACAAAATATCTTTCAAGTGTTGTATTTTGAATCCATAATATTGTTTTCCCCAATGCGAGATGAATTTCCTGGGAACAGTTATGGAAACAGGACCTGGCAGCTACCAGCTGATAGTCATTTCTAAAATCTGAAAGCCAAAATGATTTCAAATTAAACCGTAGCCTTTATGACCTTTATTCAGAAAGGAGATAAGGAAAAACAGCAGGTGTGTTTCATTAATAGCAACGAATCGCTGTTCATGTCAGCGCAAGAGAAGGGCAATGGAGAGAGATATAATAAAGAGCAACATCAGAAAACTAACTGGCTGTGTGACCTGTTACTAAGAGCCTAAACTGAAAGTTTGAAATTGGTCATTTGGTAGTGCAGAACAAAAGGAGGACAAGAAACATGTTGAAATGGAAGGAAGTGGAGGAGAGGACGTAGTTATAAGGAAATTTGAAGGGAAGACAATCACGATTGCTTGTGTAATGGGAAACATTGGCTGGAGTTACCTTACATACCTGCGCCCTTGAGATACCGTGGCCCAAATTTTTTGATGTGGATACCTAAACCAAGCAGCATCTCCCCGTACCTGGTTCCGACAGGTGGAATCACACTGCACGTTTTTGATATCTGGCTCCCAGTTTGAGAACGTATGTAGAGAAACTAGATGAGTGTAGCTTTCCTGCTGTAGTAGGAAACTGTTTGTAACCAAGGGTGTTTATGTAGGCTTACTTTCCATACTCTCTCCTCCCTTCTCCCATGTAATGAGTATGCATTTATATGTATATGTTCACGTGTTTAATTTAGAAATTTGTTTTAGTTTTCCAGTATTTCTGTATTTCATTTAACTCATTCTTTTTTTTTCCCCTTTCTTTTCCTTTTTGATGTTAAATCATCTGTTCTATTGCAGATGCTCTTCTCCATGTCTTGATCATGACAACAGCAGGTGAACTTCTGCATAATTTCTTTCTTTACTACATTGCACTCCTTACCCACCCTATTTACCCTCCCTTCTTACTTCACTTCAGAATGCTTTCATGTTTTGATAGTGCACGTTAGCCAAGACAGAAAAAAAATTATCTACTGTGACTAGCAGCAAGAATTAAACATTTCTCTTCTTAGACAGTAAGTGTCCACTTTCTACTATGTGCTATGTCCTCTGTAAGAAAAGGGTGCTGGACACATTATAAGTCCCCTGCCAAAAAAACCCTCACATAACAAAGCTCCCTGGACTGTTTTAACCATTGATTGAATTAACAATACATTTTGTCTATTGGTGGCATGGTTTAATTCTCTTAAATACTATTAAATACTATTAAATACTAT